ATTACTTCTTTCCAAACGCCTTTATGGTCCGAATTGCAAGGGAAAAGCAATTTGGTTGATGGTTGGATTCCTGGATCCATCATTCCAAATGAGGGAGGTCTAACAATCCGTTAGGAACCAGGAGAGAGAGGATATTTAGAGAAAAAAACCAATAAGGATCCGTTAGGAACTAAGAGAGAGAGAGGATATTTTAGAAAGAGAAAAACAATAAGGATCGGTTAGGAACAAGATAGAGAGGTGTTGTGACGTATCATCCTCGTAATTTGAACGAACACGATGTTTTCTCGGAAAATGACCTCAAATCCCCTTAAAACTCTCTCTCTCTCTTTACCCAAAAAAACAACCACCCTCACTCTGCATTTCTCAATTTAGAGAAGAAGAGTAACGAGGACAGCCGTCTTTAACTTATCCCCCCTCCTTTGAGAGATAAAAAGTCAAAACTTGAGCCCACTTCTTTTGTAGGGGTAGGGGCTTGTCCATGGCGACTGAGCTTGTGAACGGCCCAAACATGTCCATGAAATCAGATTGCATTGAAGACGATTTATCGAAGATGGAGAATGGGGAGGCCTCAACCACAAACAGTAGTTGCTTTTCGGTTATGTTCATCCAAAAGGCAATTCTTTTTCTATTGTTTCAATGGTTTTCCCATGGGTTTGAAATGCTTTGTCGGTTTGAGGGCGACTGATCTTTTTTAGTTTTATTTTTGAAACTCGATTGGTTGTAATAGTAAACCCTAAATAAGTGAGATAAAGTTTGGATGATGATGAATGGTTCGATCACAAACAGTATAGGTCTGCTCTTACGAGTTCTAATTGGGGTAAAAATCTTTAAGAGAGGGAAATTTTTTATTTGTTTTCGGATTCAATAGTTTGACATTTTTCAATGCTGTAGTTTTGGTTTCAAGAGATGGGTGCCATTATTTTTTCCTTTTTTTCGTAGAGATGATCAATGTGTTTGTGTGGGTTACTAGGAGAGAAAAAACACTCTCTTCTTTGATGAGTGCATGGAACCTATTAAATGAGTCTTTAATGAAAATTCTATGCTTGTTCTAAAATCTCCATGAGTATGGGAAAGAGAGAGAAAATGCTCCTCTTTTGCATTGAGCACCCACTATGTAATTTTAAAACCAACAGTACTGACTTTTCTTCTCTTCTCTTTAATTTATTTGTTCATACAGGTCATAGCGGAGATATTCGGGACTTATTTCGTGATATTTGCGGGTTGTGGATCGGTTGCAGTGAACAAGATATATGGGTCCGTCTCATTTCCAGGCATATGCGTAACATGGGGTTTAATTGTTATGGTCATGATTTACTCTGTTGGTCACATCTCCGGAGCACATTTTAACCCCGCTGTTACCCTTGCCTTTGCCATCTTTAGAAGATTTCCATGGAAAGAGGTAATTAAAAAATATATATATATATATCTTTTATTTCTCACATTTTTTTAAACTTTTTACTTCATTGTTGTAATATTGTGCTAATTTTTATGGATTTTATTATGAGAAAGTATATAATAAGACCATTTACCTTTTGCACAAGGTGGTCACAGTTAATGTTCACCATTGGATGTGAAATTTGATGGTTGCATTTATTTTATTGATCAGACTCAAAGTTCAAAAATAATTTTCTCGAACTTTGTAAAACAACTGAGCTCTTAGGTTTCACATCAAATGGTGATAAACAATTGAGACCTCCCTATACAAAAAGTAAATTTTCTCATTGTATTGTGATTGCCATGATTTATATGGACCCCAGCAAAAGGGGAGAAGTTTTTTGTTTTGTTACATTGTTTTTCTCCCTTTTACTTGTTTTCCTTTTTTTTTGTTTGTATTATTTGTCTTGGATGGAATGGTCTCGAGGCTAGGTCGTGGTCGGGACGTCTTTAAAAAATAAAAGAAAAAAAAGAAAGAGGAAGTGTAGTGTCTTTGCTCATTTAACATTTCATCCCTCCGCAACTTTTCCAACTTAAAAATGCCTAAATATTTAACATTTCAAAATGCCTAAACATTTAACATTTTGCAACTTTTTCAACCTAAAACCATGTATTTATTTATGGGTATTTTGAAAGTAAATATAAAAAATATGAGTAAAGTTTAAATTATTCAAAGATAAAGTTTAAATTATTCAAAGAGTTGCATAAATTTCCCTTTTTTCAATGATTGCCCCTACCTATTTTATTGTGTTTATCTCCTTTGGGAATTTTGCTATGGTGAAACTTTGAATTTAAATTGGGAAATTTATCAAATTTCCCTTGTTTTTAACAAGAAAACTCCCTTTTATGTTTTGTTGGAGAAGTTGGTTTTTCATTGTTAAGAAGTTTTCTTTTGGTCAATGAATTTCCTGTGATATTTCTTAGTTTTTTTCCTTTATGGGATTTTCATTACCAATGTTTCCTTTCGTGCTAAATTCCTGTATGGGATTTTTCATTACCAAGAATTAAGTATACGAACCCCAATTTTGGGATGTAACCTCTTGAACCCCAATTTCTAATATGTCTCGAGATTGCCTCGAGATTGAATGAAGACTATCCGATATTTACATATGTCTCGAGATTGAATAAAGATCGTACAATTTTTAGATGGTAAGATCTAAGTATTAGAAAAATCAAATTTCAATTTGCTTTCATTTTAGAATAATCATCATCATTTAGTGATTCCTAGATGGTTCTCAAAATTTCAGATTAAAAAATCCTTCCAAGTAGGTTTTCTAACCAAGAAGTAAACTATACGTTCCCTTAAATCAAAAGTTGGCAAGTTATTAAACGGGTGAGTTTTTTATAAGGGATTATCATAAAGAGACCATTTATTTTTAAGCCTACCATGTTTGTGGCATCATTTGGAGTATGTCCAATGTTTGCAGGTGCCAGCCTATATTGGGGCCCAGGTCGTTGGCTCTCTACTTGCTAGTGGCACTCTTCGACTTCTATTCGATGTCAAAACGACAGCATTCTTTGGAACCGTTCCTACTGGATCAGCTCTTCAATCTTTCATTTTGGAGATTATCATTTCATTTCTCTTAATGTTCGTCATTTCAGGCGTTGCAACTGATAGCAGAGCTGTAAGTCTCAATTTGCTTTTTTAGGCTCCTAAAGCCCACCAATGTGGAGGCCTAAGCCCATTTAGCACTTTTAGTCAAGACAAAATCAGGAGCTTTTGCAGATTAGTTGCAATAGAGAGCATTTTACTAAGGTCTTCAAGCTTACAAATGTGGACCCCACAATACTAAACTTGGGCTGGATAAATGAGGCCCGAGCCTATACATGTGGGTTTGAAGGCCATGGGCTTGAGAAGGTCTCGTGAACCGGCTTTGAAAAAAGTTACTTTCCAATGACACAAAAGGGCATTGTGGAAGTATTTTTTTTACTTTTTCTTTTCGAAAATTTTGATATTGAATTTGGAGCATTGTGGAAGTATTTTTTGTACTTTTTCTTTTCGAAAATTTTGATAGTGAATTTGGATGTTTCTTTTAGTTTATCTGCTTACTGAATTTGTTTTTGCAGATCGGAGAGCTGGCTGGACTTGCTGTGGGATCAACTATATTGTTGAATGTGTTTGTTGCTGGGTAAGTTACTTTTGCCAATTTCAACAAAATATTTCATTGAAATTTTATGTATGGAAAATTGTTTCATGCGGTAATTTTATTTATGGAAAATTGTTTCATGCGGGTTGGACTGCATTTCTACATATGCGGTCCAGATGTAAGATGGATACAAATAGGTGGTCCATCTAAAAACAATTGAAACTACCCGTCCAAATATTTTCTAAATAGAATTATTAATTCTAATTGTTAAGAGGGAACTCATTTCTACCGAGACTCATAGAAACCGTATCCTTTTATTGTCGCCAAAAGTGAGGTACATATTGCATAGAAATTTTTTCTTGTTTGGCCAAAAGTCAGGTCATTTTATTGAATGGCCTGACTTCTTCTCTAAAATGGCCCCTGGTTTCTTGATTTGGGAATTAGTTATTGCTTCTCAAAATGGCTCTGGTTCCTTAATTTAGGAATTACTTATTGCTTCTCAAAAAGGCCAGTTTTCTTAATTGAGGAATCAATTATTGCTTCTCTAAACTGGCCATCTTTCTAAAGTTAGCCAGCACACATGGGATCCAGTTATTACTGCTCCAAAATGAAAATGCCCAAACCTCAATCTTTTTGGAAGCATTTCACTTTTATTTTGCATGCATTTCACTTTTTATTTTGCATCATCCATAATGCTATAGCTTTATGGTGCATGGCCACCATGTTATAAATCTAACAAAATAGATTTTGAGTAATAAAAATAAATTATTTTAAATTTTATTTTTTATATTTTGAGCTTCCAATCATGAATTTAATGTGAGAATACATCTAGAATAACCCATTTCAAATCCTAAATCCATCTCTAAATATTTTTAGAGAGGGACCGCATTTAAATAGGACTAGGGCTGAGAATGGGTCAAATTGGGTTTGGATCCACTGGGATCCGGATTTGGATCTGAAGAGTATACATGAGATCTAGATCCGGACCCAATCGGATCCAAAAAAATTATTTTTTATATTAATGTGTATCTATAAAATAATATTAAATAAGATATAACAAAAAAGGGAGTGGATTATGTCAGCCCATGGGCTGACTGCTTCAGTGTCAACCAATGACCCCAGATTCAATATGGGCTGATCTGACAGTTATAATCTTATTTCGTATTCATGCACCTAATAAAATAATAATAATTCGTAAAATATAAATTGACCAAATACCTTCGAAATGTTTTGGGGGTATTTTGATCAATTTATATTTTGAGAATTATTTTTTATATATTTTTATTAGATTCTTATATTTTGAAAAATATACGCACCAAATTTCAAATGATTTTTGGATTTGTAGAAAAAAAATGAAAATTTAAACACAAAATGAGGTCGTGACCGGTAAATAGGCCCAGATTGAATCTGGGCCATTGGCGGACATTGTAGCTATCAGCCAGTGGCCTAACAGGATCTTTTCCCAACAAAAAATACTATATAATATATATGTATATGTATATAGTAATATATAATATATTAATAACTAGGTCGGATCCAGATCGGATCCAAATTTTGGATCTAGATCTGACGTGTCGGATATAAATCTTGGATCCATATCTGAATCCTGATAGGATCTGAAATTTGAGTTTGACCGGGTAAATTCTCAACCCTAAATTGACTTTTTCCTTGCTGAATTTCAAAAGTGGCCGTGAAAATGTGGAGTTTAACAATATTACAATATTTATTGACACATGCCTATTTTTGGGGCATCCATGAATCCGGCTAACAATATTACAATATTTATCGACACAGGCCTATTTCTGGGGCATCCATGAATCCGGCTAGGTCCTTGGGTCCTGCAATCATCATGAACCAATATAAGGGTCTTTGGGCCTACATATTTGGACCACCAGTTGGGACCATATTGGGTGCTTTTGCTTATAACCTCATAAGGTTCACGGACAAGCCACTGCTCGAGCTCACAAAAAGCGGGTCGTTCCTCAAGAGCCTCTCAAGGAAATAGACTGACTACAAATAATGCCTCAAAATTACTCTAATTAGTGTTTTTCTCTTTTTTTTTCTTTTTTTTTTTCTATTTTTAACTTTTCCTTTTCAATTTTGCCTTAGGAAATTCAATTTATTTCAGGAATTCTATCTTGGGCATTGGATGTTTTATTCAAATATTATATGAAAAAATTAGAGCGGGTCGTTCCTCAAGAACCTCTCAAGGAAATAGACTGACAACAAATAATGCCTCAAAATTACTCCAATTAGTGCTATTCTCCCTTTTTTTTCTCTCTTTTAACTTTTTCCTTTTCAATTTTGCCTTTGAAAATTCTATCTATTCCTCAAGGGGATTTTTTTTTATTTGATGACACTAGATCACAACTAACGCAATTTTGGGGTTAATAAGGAAAATGTTATATATCAAAATTTAAAAGAAAAAAGAAAATAAAAGATAAATGAACTATAAACTCCTCCATTATTTCCTTTCCATTAGAAATCACAATTAGGTGTTGGCAATTTTGGGGCTTAACTCCATTATTTCCTTTTCACCAGAAATCAACCATTACATGGGTTTGAGGTTTGTTTAAAAAGTATCATTTCTTAAAACCTTTAAATTTCACCATTTTATATATTGCCGTGTTAAATAAGTAATTGTTTCTATTTGGAACGCCCATATATCAATTACCCAAAAAAAAACGCCCATATATCGACCATCTAATTTTTTTCTTAAAAATAATTATATGAGGATTAATAGTTGGATATGTTATGTTTATTTAAATATTATATCCACGTTAAATTTCAAATTTTTTACGCACGTGCTTTGTTTATTCACATTTACATTCATATAGGTTTGCACTAGTAATGACTGATGTAAGTAACCCTGAGTTAATTGCCACATCGGATGGTGGTTTTGGCCTTGTGAAACACGTATATTGGCATACTTACAGGTGGACCATCCAAATGGAAAAAGCTTATATAAGGTAGCAACCGTATACTTTTAAATGCAGGTGCAACCATTGTTCGCAAAACCGGTCGGTCCAAACCGGAACCAGCCAGTTAGATCGGTACCTGCAAGGTACCGATTTTGGTTAAGGCCGGTTTTGCAGTACTATTCAATAGACATTCATCTTCAAAAAAAAAAAGTATAAAAACCTGTCGGTTCGATATCGAACCGATGATATTTTCTAAAAACCGGCCAATTTTCAGCTTACCAGATTGGTTCGTCATTATAACAGCGTTTTAGGGTAAATAACAGTAACTTATAAATAACGGCGTTATTTTAAAATTCAAACCGTTATTTGTAGAAGGAAAATTGTGAATCCAAATTTCACCATTTTTTATTCGGTTTGCGGCCATATTTTGGTTTTTTGTCGTGTTTTAATGGTTTAAATCACTATATAATGAATCTAAACACAAACTTCCACCATTCTTTCAATAATCTCCTCAATACCTAATGATTCTTCAAGAAAGTTGAGGGGTTTGATTGTTATTCGAAGTATTCAAGCTTTAATTTGGTCATAAAACAAAAACATAAAGGGTTTATTTTAGCTTGAATGGTTGCTACTCCAAGAACTTGTGTTCTACCCAAAAACGCAGATTTTTTGTCTATTTATTGGTTGTTTTTTATCAAATTAAGTTGTGTATTTAAATAATTGAGGCTTTATAGCTCAAATTAAATTACTATGTTTATTTATTATTGAACAAATTTTTTTATATCAATTTTTTTGTTGCATCATATTACGAAAATTTCATAGATCTCGAATTTCTGCATTTTCTTCAATTAAATAAAAAATAGAGAATATTTTTTGATGATATTGGATGCGTTTGAAAGATGATTGAAGCCTTTACAATGGATGCATATTTATTTTTTCAATTATCCAAACATTGAGGGGTGTTTCTTGCTCGAAATGTTGCTTTATTTTTTGGGTTTTTGAAAAGTTGTTTTTTCTAAAAAAGATATTTTGCTGAAGAAAATTATGTTTTTTGATAAAGTTGAGAAGTGTTTTTCTATTTTTGCTTAATAACTTATTTTTAATAGAATTATGATTTATTAATAACATTACATTTTTTTTTATGAATATGGGAAGTGTTTTTCTATTTTGCTTAATAAAATTATTCCTTTGATAAAATTATTTTTTGATGAAATTGATTCTTCTTTTTGATAAGTGCATGGTAATGTCACACGATTTTTTAGCTATCTTTTTTTTTAAGTTGATATATTTATATTTGTAATTATGGAAATGGGATATTTTGTTTTTTAAAGTGCATTATGTTCAATGAAACACTACACCGTCTTGTATGTGCTTTGTTCTTCACCTTTTTCTTTATTTATTTATTTTGTTCATTCTCTATCAAGTTTTTGGAATGTTATAGAAATAGCCTTTAAAAGATCAGCCATTTTTAAAAAAATCAGCCGACTAAATCGGGATCAGTCACTGGCCGATCCTGATCTAGCCCGATTAGAGAGAGAGAGAGACAGAGAGAGTTATGCAAAGATCTTAATTTCAAATCATCCCTCATTTGAGATATTGATATTTCTAAAAAAGAAAATTTTCATTTTTCTTTGTAAAATTATATATATATATTATCAATATGGGAAGTTTTTTCTATATTATATGACAAAAATATCTTCAAAAAAAATATCCTAATCTATTTTCAGGCACAGGACCATAGTATTCGAATATTACTTTATCAAAAGTTGTTTCAATTTCTTTTTTGTAAAATAAATATACGTAATAAGATATTATACAATTAGTCTAAGTATTTTTAGTTTTTTTATTTTATTTTTTGGGAGTTTTTGACCCATTTTTTTTTAAAAAAATCTACTTGATCGGTTAGTCCAGTTAACCACTCAGGTTAGTCCGGTTCCAGTTCAAACTGCTCCCAACCCCATGTCTGGTTAACCGTTCCGGTTTGATTTTGCGAACACTAGGTGCAACTCAAAAATCCTTTAAAAGAGAGTGTTTCACACTTGGAGAACCTTCCAATTGAATTTTATGAAGAAAAAGAAATTTTTGAGTCTTAAAAATAGCATACCAAGTGTTTATAGATCTATTTAATTTGTATCATTTTTGAAATTTTAGATCTGCTTAATTTGTATCTCCTAGCCAATTTTAGAGGTGTGCATTACTTCTATAGTATAAGGAGGGTGCCTCATACAAACTTCACTCAATCCAAATCACTCCCACACATACTAATGGTTTAGATGACTCGTGTATGTTAGGTTTAGATAAATTGTATTTATTCATATCACAATCACTTTTAGCCATTAGATATAAAATCAAGCAGTTGGGAGTTAAAGACATATGCATGTTAGGTTTAGATGACATGTGCTTATTCAAAAAATGCCACAATCACTTTTACCCATCAAATGTAAAATCAGATGTTTAATGTGTACTCTTAGCTGCACTTAAAGTCTAAAAATATTTTCTTCACAATTGCTTTCAGTTTTCAAATGACTTGGGCTTATTAAAAAAGTATATGATAAAATGTCACAATCACTTATAGTCATCAGATGTAAACTTCGGTGGTTGGGTGTGCACTCCTAGCTGCACTTGAAGTCCAAAAATATTTTCTTCACAATCACTTTCAGTCATCAGATGTAAAATAAGATCGTTGGCATTGTACTCATAAATGTATTTTGAAATGAGGTGGTTGGGAGTGCACTCCTAACTACGTTTCAAGTCCATAAACTTTTGCATGTTCGGTGGTTGGGAGTGCACTCCTAGCTACATTTGAAGTCCATAAACTTCTGCATGTTAGGTGGTTGGGAGTGCACTCCAAACTACATTTGAAGCCTAAAAATATATTTTTTAGATTTACTTCTACTTATTAGATGTGAAATCAGGTGGTTGGGGATGAACTTCTAACTATGTTTGAAGTCCAAATGGTTTTTTATGTACGGATCACTTGGGCCAAATGAGTCCTCGACTGGTATTGTTGAGCCATAAGGCTGGCTGAATTTGGGAGTGATAGGCTTGAGCCGGTTAGACCAACTTTGCCTGACACAGGTAGGTTTGGGCCAAGAAGGTGGTGTGTCCCACAACTTGTAGCAGTTGGATACATGATTGTGTCATGGTTGCACCGCCTAGAGGGTGATTGGTGGGTTAGGAAAGCCTGTGGGCTAACTAACGTGATTAGGTTGGTTATGGGTCTAAAAAGGACGCTTAGGTTGGACCCTAGGTAGAATCTAAATTGTGATCCCCTTGTTTACCAAGGCTTAAGGGGCACAAGATGTTACTACAGTTGACTTTACGCTCAACCCCTGAAATGTTGTGTGGTCAATTTTAGGGACCCTTTTGGGTTGCCTAGCTTTGGACGAGGCGGTGGACTTGGTATCTGAGTCACCTCAAATACTGACATGGTTATTTTAACATAAGAATTCACACTCAAGCACATGAAAGATTTGAAAAAGATTAAATTAGATAGAAGAGTTGAAATTAGGATTACTTTTTATGAGCACCCACGTAAGTCCCAAGCCGCTAATGAAAGGCGGCGACAAGGGTCTTACTATATATGAGTTGCTTTTGAGGCTAGAAAACTATGAAGGAGCACTCATGTGAATGTTCCACAATCACCAACCATCTTGCTCACATAAGTTGGGTTCCCTCACAACTTGAATGACGGTATTAGGGGTTTTAGAAAACTTTTTTAAAGCAATATTTAAAGAGTTGTCATGTGTAATCTGTGTGAAATAAGAGCACAAGTGTTGGACACAAAGGTGTGATAAAAACAAAACAACAAGATGAAGATACAAGATGAAGAAATTTCTAATCCTAAGAAAGATAATGATTTATTTATTTATTTAACTACAACTAGAAAGCTAGCATGTCAAGAGACTCAAAACAAAGATTCGGGAAGGACAGGATTCCCCGAAAAGTTTTTTGAAAGGTTTTTGCAAAGCAACAACACGGTACAATAGTGCAGTCTACAATGTTGCACCAAATCTCTAGCACGCAGTACACATCACTAAGGGCTTCTATCCCCAGGATAGTTTCGGGGTCTTGTTATCAATGTTTCATAAAGTTTCTTCAGAATCGAGCCCTTGAATAGAGTTACAAAGTCATTTTATGTCCAATTTTTGTGTGATTGAAAGTTGATGTGCCCCAC